TATATATATTTATTTTATATATAATTATCAAAATCTATGTCAAGCTAAACATGAGTTCATATAATGTCTCCGACTGTAATCTATCGCCACGTGGATCATTCTAGCCTCCTTCACTTATCTAAATTCTCACGCCAATGAAAAGAAATCTGGCTCCCACCATCTTCCATTCCTTTACATTATGGTTCAATTTCAGTGTACATATATCAGACTTAGTAACCTGAACTCCCTTGGAAAAGAATGTTATTAACTAGAGTTAATATTGCTATGTGCAATTCTTGTGGCCTTTACTCTTACAGATGCCATTCATTTGCAGTTTTACCCACCTCCTTCACTGAAGTTGTTTTGTACACTTGTAGCATGGTTGGATTCTCTTGTCCCAGTCTGAATTCCTTCCTGGGATCTCCTTCTGTGGTGGATTAACTAGTAGTCAACTTGGAATGCCCAGCTGAACTGAGTCAGCATGGTTCTGGGCATGAAAGACCCATCTGAAGATTGCTGCCAATGGCATAATAGGAGAACTGGAGGAGAACATTGTTGGCTATTGATTTTCCTGGAGAAGCTTGCCACAGCTGGTTTTCCTGATACAAACTAGGCTGTTCATGACGAGCTTGAGTCCTCATTGTTGCTAGGAATGGCTGCTGGTCTCATCAGGTAGCTCTGGTCTTCACTTTGAGTGTTGTTTCCTAGCTCCAATGTAATTCCCTCAGCCTGGTGGCAAAGACCCTTCACTCTGCCGGTGCAGGCTTTCTAGCTTCCACTATTGGCCCTTGGGCCTTCCCAGTGCAGATCCTCGATAGGGACTTAAATGAGACATTGCCATGGACTCTAGGACTCCAGCTGGTCTCATGAGAACGCTGCCACAGGCTTTAGGCCTTCAGCTGAACTCATGGGGGAGCCAGGTCCTTGGCTGGATTCTTCAGGTCTCGAGTGTGCAGACAGATCTCTTATGCTCTTCTGCATTTTTGGGTGAATATTATAAAATAATCCTATAAATTGTGTGTCCTGTATCGAATCTATTCCCTTGCAGATCCTGACTGTAACACCTTCCTTCTTAAATGAATTTTTAAAATTTTCATACATTAAGTTTCACTCTTTGTGTTGTAAATTTCAATAGGTTTTAATAATGTATAATCTCATGTATCCATGGCATCTCAGTACCATCCAGAATAACTTTACCACCATAAAAATCTATTTAATCCTTCTCTGCTCCTCCCAAACACCTGACAAACACTGATGTTTTCGCTGTCTCTGTAATTTTGCCCTTTCCAGAATGTCACATAATTGTAATCATATTTACATAGTATTTTCATGCTGGCTTCTTTGTTGTTGTTGTTTGTTTGTCTTTTGGTCCTGGGGAATCAAACTTGGGACCTTGCACTTGCAAGGCAGGTGGCAGAATGACTGAGCTAACTCCCCGGCCCTTGGCTTCTTTGAATTAGTAGTTCATTAAAGGAGATTCATGAATATCTTTTTGTGGTTAGGAGCTCATTTTCTTTTATCTCTGAATAATATTCCACTGTATAGCTGTATCAGTTTGTCCATTGACTTATTGATGGACATGCTGGATGCTTCTTAATTTTGGTTTATGAATAAAGCTTCTACACACTTTCATGTATAGATCAGACATACTTTTATCATGACTTAATTTTTCATTTCAAATATGATAGTCAAAAATATAATAAAACTAATAGAGAGGGGCCGGGGATTTAGCTCAGTGGTTCCGCTGCCTGCCTCAAAAAGCATAAGGTCCCGAGTTTGATACCTGGTACCAAACAAAACTAATAGAGCAATACACCTTGAAAGTTAAAATATTGTAATTAATATTTTAATAATCTTGGATATGGTCCTTAGGGCTGGGGGTGTAGCTCAGTGGTAGAGCATTCACATAGCATACACAAGGCCCTGGATTCAATCCCCAGCTCCTAAAAAGAAAAAAAGAGATGGTTCATTATAATTGATTTATCCATTTATTAAGTAATAAAAAGAATATAAATATGTTGTATGTTGTTTGTTGGTGTTTTTTTTGAGGCAAGGTCTCACTCCGTAGCCCATGGCCATCCTCCTGCCTCAGCCTCCCAAGTGCTAGGATTACAGGCATCCACCACCACACCTAGAAATATGTTGGTTCTTATTATTTAATTAGTAATAATGCAATAAATACATCATTGAAATTAGTAGTAAAACAAGGGATATTATAGAAGGTATGGTGTTCCTTCTGCAAGTATGTGAGTGGGCATATATTAAACTCTGGGTAGTCTTTTGAGATTAATTAAAGAATAGTCATGCATAAAAATTAGAAATAGGTATGCTGGGGATTTAGCTCAGTGGCACCATGTCTGCCTTGCAAGCTCAAGGTCCTGAGTTCGATCCCTGGTACCAAAAAAAAAATTAGAAATAGGCAGGCACCATGGTGCACCCTTGTAATCCCAGCCACTCAGTAAAGGAGGATCACAAATTTGAGGCTACCCTGGAAAACTTAAAAGAACTTGTTTGAAAAATAAATATAAATTAAAAGGCGGGGAATATAGCTCAAGGTATAGTGTTGCTTAGCACACCTGAGCTAAGCAATCTAGGTTCAATCTCTGGTGAAGAAGAAGGAGAAGGAGAAGAAGAAGAAAGAAGAGGAGGAGGAGGAAGAGAAGGAGGAAGAAGAAGAGGAAGAGGAAGAGAGAGGAAGAGGAAGAAGAAATTCCATCAAATTAATAAGACATAATAAAAATATTCCAGCCATGTGTGATGATATACACCTGTAATCCCAAAACTTTGGGAGGCTGAGGCAGGAGGATTTCAAGTTCAAGAAAGACCTTGTCTCAAAATTTAAAAATAATTTTAAAAGGACTGGGGAATATAGCTCAGTGCAAAAGTCTGTGTTCAATGTCCAGTACTTCAAAAAGAAAAAATCTAATTTGTTTAATGAAGAGGAGGATAAATATATACAAAGATAAGCTTGTTCTGTATAAACCCATATGTTCTGATAAATTATATCTTGTTTGGTTCCTGTCAAAAAAGAAAAATGAAAAAAGAAAAAGAAAAATGAAGGGTACATTTACAGTGCTGCATTATCATCAGGGAATATTTTTTTGCTAGGGATCAGTAAGAACTAAATCTTTTATACACACGATAACTAAAAAGAATTGTCCATAAACCATCTTCTGGCCCTATACATTTTATAAATTGTCCTTCTTTCACAATGACAGTTTCTTTTTCCTTTTTTTTGGTACTGGGGATCAAACTCGGGTCCTTCCGCTTGCGAGGAAGGCAGCAGAACCACTGAGCTAAATCCCCGGCCCAACCCTGTACATTTTAAAGTTACCCTTGTTTTCTCTCCCATTCCAACCTATGTCAGTGTTGGGCACCATAGAACAAGTTCTTATCAGCCTGTGGTCCTGCACTTTCATGACACATCAAAACTTTAGTATGCGTAGCGGGCAGTAGAACTCTTGAGTCAGCCTTATGTTTAGATGGCCAGTAATAACCTAACCAGTACATCCCTGGAGCCCTGGGGCCTCAGCTTGGAGGACTCATCCCTTACCTCTTGCCCTCCGCACCAGGCAAGAAATCTGTGGCACTCCCTAACAGAGCCCACACCCACCTTATACACAATATACTCTGGATACCTGAAACTCTGGAATTTCTTGTCCATTTTTGGGCTTTGGTGGGCTGGGCTGCCTTTCTCATGGGTGGGCAGCCTTGGACTAAAGGAGTGACCAATAGGTGGTTGTTTGCAAGTTTTGTGAACGTAACTTGGACATACAGTCTGGAGTGTTCACATGTGTAATTGTGAGGTCCTTAGAGTATAGGATGGAGTTGGAAATGGAGAGAGAGATGAGTGGACTACAGCTTTCCTACACTGCCCATTCTAGTAAGAAACTCCCAACAATCTCAGAACTCCAAATTCAGACCTGATCTCCTTGTCAAGCCAGGGAACAGAATTGTTTTACTCAACAGTTTGTTAGCTTGATTTATAAAACTTAAGTATTTAGTATAGTAAATTGTCTTCCATTTGTACTATTGCCCCTAGCTGAAAATTCACAGAAGCGCAAGGAGGATATCCTCCTCATTATTCCATAGATACATGGATTGAAATTAGAACTACCTACACTTCTGAGGATGCTTTAACCTAGGTGCAAGCTGAATTCTGGTCATCATCAATAGATTACATTATGGAGTTAAAATACAGCAGTGGGACCATCTTGAATAAATCCATCTCCTCAGCACATTCCAGGAATGAAAGTCTTTCTTTACTCACAGCAAAGGTGGCGCATATGAAAACAAAGATAGAAAAAAAAAATACTCTGAGAGTGGGGGGAGAATAGCCAGGTATGGTAGTACACAGCTATAATCCCAGCTACTCAGGAAGCTGAGTCAGGAAGATTGCCAGTTCAATTGCTGAGCAATTTAGTGACACCTGCCTCAAAATAAAATATAAAAAAAGTAAAATAAAATAGGGCTGAGGATGTAGCACAGCACTTCCTGTGTTCGATACTCATTCCTAGGAAAGAAAAAGAGGAATGGTCTAAACACATACCTCAGGCCCCAGCACAGGGGACTGAGCCCAAGGTCTGATGCAGGCTAGGCATGCACTCCAGTCTGAGCTACATTGTCAACTCCTTTTATTTTATTTTGAGACAAAGTCTCACTAAATTTCCCAGAATGGTTTTGAATCTCCTACCCTTCTGCCTCTCCGAGTTCTGTGTAGCTGGGATTACAAGCATGCAACCATCTTGCTTTTGCTTCTTTCTCTGAAGTCATACAAAACACAAGCTAACCCCAAGATCATGATCCAAATGGTCAAAACTTCTCAGGGGAACATATCAGGTTTCTGACTAGGGTCTTGGGAGACAGATCTTGTGCTCATAGGTTCTATCTTCTTATTCAGTTTAGTAATTCAGAGAGCTATTCTGACAAATTGTCGCTAAAGAGATATTCGCCTTGGGCCAATCTCTCAGGCAAGACCACACGTTTGACAGGTGCACTCATATGTTAATCTTTCTTTGCAGCCTGTGAAGCCACGCACACCGAATCCCTGGTTACAAAGTCCAGCCCTAGACCTAAACACACAAAACAGACGTCATTTATCACTTGTCAAAGACCTACACACTGCCCGGGAAAAAAGGATTGCTATGGGGCCTTTTGAGTCTCACACCTCAGGTCTTTAGCTGAGTAAATAATCAGAAAGAAGATTTTTTCTAGCATCAAGTCTTCTCTGAAAGGAAAGGTGCTCATCTCTAGGCTGAATGCTGCTCTTGCTCCAAGACACAGGCAGCAGTGGACCAGGTCCATTCTGTCTCTTCACTGATATTGTACAATCTTGTCACTGTTTATAAAGAAAAATTATTTAACTGTGGACTTGATTTCTTTTCTTTTTTTTTTATTCTCAGTACCGGGGATTGAACTCAGGACCTTGTGCTTTCCAGGTAGCCACGGCGCTGCTGGGCTACATCCTTGGCCCTGGACTTGATTTATTTTTATTTTTTTATTATTATTTTTGGTACCAGGGATTGAACTTGGGACCTTGCGCTTGCAAGGCAGGTGGCAGAACCACTGAGCTAAATCCCTCCCTGGACTTGATTTCTTAATGTGTAGTATTTACATAGAAAATTAAAGAAGACTGACATCACATTTGGTAACAGGATATTTTTCCATACCCCTGAAAAATCATATATTAAATATGAGTCAGAGCTCCAAATTTATTAGAGTAGAAGTAAAAATGTTGAAAAACTCATCATTTACAAAGCCATACAAATTGTCCTCTGGAGCCTAAACTAGAATCCTATTTGTCTAATAAAGAAACAGCTTAGGTGACTTTTTTTTTTTTTAATCTGCAAGGCTGGTCTCTCACTTTTTAGAAAAATCTGCATGTCTAGTCTCATTCTAGAGGAAATTCTTCAAGTGCAGTCCACAGGGCAGTGTGGAAGGCATGTCACAGGGACTGTTAGGCAATGTGGAACCATGTCACGGATTATTCCAAAACAGCAGCAAAGCCAATACAATAATTTTCCCTTCATACTGAGTGGGTGGGTGTGAACACATTTAAATTCCTGAGAAATAACTCTGCAGTTTCCCAAGGCTTAACAATTAGCAATTCACATGAGCTTCAGTATATTTAATGCTTATGAAATTTAAGCACTGTGGAGCAGCTGCAAGCTTTCATAAGATGGGAATCTGTAAGAGTACATGATACTTAAAAAATAACCATAGAGAAGGAGAGGCCCAGAATTCAAAGTAGTATGAATTCAGCTTTTTTTCCTAAGTATCTATTGCTATTTACACCCTAAAGGGCATAGAAACATCAACAGTGAAAATAATGTCAGTGTGGAGCCCCTCTCCCATTTTCTTCTCCCTATTGCGTTTCTTTTCTGTTGGCACTCTTATTGAAAAATAAAAAGCAATATTTTCCTCTATGAACTCCTAGCAGCTATGAAACGGGGTGGGGTGGGGCCTTTGGGGAATATCCATTTATGCATAACAGACAATCTTCCCCTTTCTTGACTCATGGAACTCATGTCTTTTTTAAAAATTAATTTTATTGGTACATTTTAGGTATACAATATAATGACATTCATCATTGGAAATTTGCACCTTTACATAATCTCTGCTGGTTCTTATTTTTTTTCCCCTTCCCCTGCCCTCCCTTCAACCCCTCCATCCCTCCCTATTTACAAAGACTTTGTTTCCATTTTTTCATTTTCCCATATTAATTCCATTCCCTTTTTCCTTTCCCCTACCCCTCCCACTTCCCCTTCTCCTTTGCCCTTTTCTTCCTATTTCACATTATCTATTATACCTTTTAGTCCTTATTTACATTTTCGCTTTCTCACACTAGAGAAACCATTCAGTATTTACACATGTGTGTCCTATTTATTTCACTTAAGAGTATCATGTCTTTTTATTTTTTACTTTACACATTCCATCTGTTTCCACATCTAACCTGAGAATTCTGGGATCTGGATCTCATGAGGCATTCAAAACAATGAATAATTCTGTCCAAGTACTTTCTCAGCCCCTCTATCTTTGAATTTGCCATTTAATAGTGAAAGGACTTTATTGTGTACTCTTTGCATTGCTGGCAAGAACAAGAGAGCTGAACTGAACTCTCTTGCCAGCCAGCCAGCAAGGCCACACAGAGGGTCTCTTAGGGCATCACCACTGTGGGAGACATAGCAGCAGCAGCAGCAGCAGAAGAACTGGTCCTTGTGCTTGAGGAGTTTACAAGGGGTTTTATAAGACACACATACAAGAATCTTTCAAGACAATATGCTTAGTCTAGTGGGAATTGTGTGGCACACGATGGATGTGCTAAAGGAGTACCAGGGAGGAGGGCAGTGGAGTTTGAGATGAGGGAACTTTTGTTGGACCTGGGATAAGCGGAGGGAAGGAGGGAGGACTTTCCAGGTGATGGAAAGGACACGAGAGAGGGCTGGAGGGAGGAATGAGCTTGGCAGAGATCCAGGAGAGCTCCTTTTTCCTCTCCTATTTCCAAAGTGATTCACTTCTCTTTTCACAATAGACAAGCTGGCATCCATTCTCCATGCTCTCATGTTTTTGCTAATCTATGCATATTAACAAAATGTTATGACTACAAAATATTCCATAAGTCCACAAATCCTTTCTAAAGGGCCTTACCTTCCTTTATGGCTGATTCTCTTGGAGTGTCTCTATTCTCTTCCTTTTTTCTACCTTCATTAACTCCACAGATTGATGAGGTGAGTGACTGACCCCTATCCTGCTGTAAAAGGAAGCTTCAGTTTGCCCCAGCATGTCAGGAAAACACAATGCTGACTTTTTCTTAGAATCTAGAGAAATTGTCCATTTTTCAACCAAGATTTACGTTTCTCTGAGTTTAGATATTCTGAGTTAGCATCTCTAAGTGAGCCATGTCCGAAGACCAGATCAAGGGATAATCACAGATAAAGAGTAAATTGTGGGGCCAGGTGTGGTGGCACATACCTGTATAATCCCAGCACTTGGGAGACTGAGGCCAGGATTGTTGCAAGTTCGAGGCCAGCTTAGACTACATAGTGAGTTTAAAGTCTACCCCCCTCCCAAAAAAGTAAATTGTGGGCTAAGGTTCACAAGGAAATCACTTGTGTTAGAATTAATTCCCTCCCTCCCACAACCTTCAACTGGTTATCACTTGATTCTCCCACCCTGCCTCATCATTTCTTGATCTATATTGTCATTGTACATGTACCAAGAACCAGTACTAATAATCATCATGGATATACCAGGAAGTATGAGACAGTTTTTCTGACTTTGAGGGATTTGTTGCTTAGTCGGATAAAATGGACTTGTTTTGTTGAAGACAGTTACAAAGTCTTTCAGAGATAAAGTGCAAACTGGTCACTCTGATTTTTCTCAGACTCCAGCTATATTTTTTTAAATGAAGTGCTAAAGCAGAAATTTTAAAAATTATGGCAGATTTTAAAGTAAATTATTAAATTATTGCTTTTAACACAGAAATATACAATGGGTAATTTTCTTCTGAGATAATGTCAGAAATCTAAATAACATAAATGTTCACAGCAGCATTATTTGTAATAGTCAAGCAAAAGCAGCCCAAACTGATGAATGGATAAATAAAATGTGGCATATTCCTATAACAGTATATTATTCAACAATAAAGAGTAATAGCTTAGCCAGGTGCAATAGTGCACATGTATAACCCCACCACTCTGGGAAACTGAGGTAGGAAGATTGCAAGTTTGAAGCCCACCTGGGCAACTTAGTGAGACCCTGTCTTTTTTTTTTTGTACTGGGGATCGAACTTGGGACCTTGCACTTTTGAGGCAGGCGAAGGAACCGCTGAGCTAAATCCCTGGCAGTGAGACCCTGTCTTAATAAAAAGGTTGGGGCTATAGCTCAGTGGGAAAATCTTGAGTTCAATCAATGTCCAGTACCAAAAAAAAAAAAAGAAATAAGTTGCTAGGCTGGAGGTGTAGCTCAGTAGAGAGCATTTGCCTAGCATGCAAGATCTCACCTTAAAATAAAGCAAGACAAAACAAACAAAACCCCAACTCACTCAACAGGCACTGTTCTAGCCTCTGGGGATACACTGGTGATCTAGACCATGAAGTTCTCTGCATTATATCTCATGACAAAACCCTAGGTTATTCGATGAAATCTGTCCAGGGTTAAATACTTGCAATTGATTGAAAAATATTTCAAATATTGTAAACTAATACTGTGCCAAAAACATCTCTGGACCAGAGTCAGACCTCAGGCTGACAGTGTGTGACCTTCAATCAAAGATTTTTAGATGTTTCTAAAATGTTACTTGGCTGAACCTTAGCATCCTCAACTGCTTCCATATGCTTCCCAACACCAATCAAGGAAGTATTCTCATAAAATTTAGGGAAATAATTTTAATTGAGCCAGGACTTGGTGGACAATAGCCTAGATCCTGTTCATCTCTATGAGATGCTGCAGCCTTTGTCACTGACCAGGTGAGGCCCCGATAATTTTCCATACCTGCACTGAGAGACAGTTTCTACAGGGTGGATTTGGAATAGATTTGTGATTCCTAGAGTCTTTTAAGATTATCTGCCCTCTGAGGATATTTGTGGGAGGCCAATTCAGCAAACAGCCTCAGAGGTTAGGATTTGGACCCTTTCATTTTCCTTACTTGAGAATACCTAATGACCTCAACTGCTTTTGGCCAAACAAATGGCAGCAGTATAATCAGCTCAATAATTAATTTAATCTGTGTTAAGACTTTAACATCTCCATGATCTCACAAAGAAAAGGAACTTTAAATTTATAGTGGACCTTCAAGTTATGACCAGCCTGACATACAAACAACTTAGGTTAATTAGGTTAATGGAAGATTCATTTGCCTCTTGTTATCTATAGTGTGTACCCAGGGAAACATCCAGATCTCAGCTGTATTGACTTACAACCAACTTGACTTACAACCAGCCCTCGGGACCGATCAAGTTTGTAAGTCAAGTCTGCTGTATCTTGTAACTATTCAGTTCAGAATCAGTCTCATACTATTAATTTACCCATCAGCAGTTTAAATCAGGTTTTTCACTGGACCACACTGCCCTATAACTCAAAGCTGTTACAGTAAGTCCCCGCCTTACAAACGAGTTTCTCTCTGAGAGAACATTCGTAAATTGGATTCATTTGTAATCTGAACAGTGAATCTTAATACAGT